TTTTTTTATTTCTTTCATCTTTCAGTTAGTTCAGTTATGCGATGAGGTATGCGAATTGCCGCATATTACTCTCATACCACCTTCGCACTTCTACTCAAAAGTTTATTTTTTATTTCTTTCATCTTTCTGTTATTTCAGTTATGCGATGGTGTAACGCCCCGTATTTTATTAATAAAGGAAAATACTAGCTTTAGAGTAAAAGCTAGCCTTTGTTAATAAATATTCATGTTAATGTTCAAAGTCCATGTTATTCAGCTAGTTAAATTCCAAGTTCGACGTTAAGTCAATAATATATTCGGTTAATTTTATTTATTAACCGAGTCAATGATAGTAATTAATTTCAGTCCGTTTATATTAATAAATGAACATCAGCAGGTTGGGATTAATTATTCCAATGTTGACGTATTAATTAAGTTAATCGTCAAAAGTTAAATTCAAGCCATTTTTCAGTTTCAGTTAAAGTCCGACTATTAGTCGATAAATTATTAATAATTATAATCAATGTAATACCCAGTCTGAGTCCCCACCTGAACTGCTGGTTTGAAGATGTAAGTGCTGATCATCTGCAAAACTGTGACATATATAAACAAATACTAAGTACTATGCTCAGACTAATTAAAATAGTTGTTAAGATGCTTAACTGGAACTAATGACTTAACTGGACTTAGTGACATGAGTTAGAGCTTAACATAGACTGACTTGAACATAACTGGAATTATTGAGCTGGACTGATTGAACTGATAACTTAACTGATTTTATTGAACTGACTGACTGGACTTGGAATTTAACTGGAATACCTGAGATAACTTGGACCGGATCAAAATAATATTAAAACATAGAAATATCCAGTCTGAACTAGCCGGTTCACTGGCTGGCCGGACCGCCATCTCACTGTGGCCGGGCGGTCGGCCACTGGTCTGGGTCAACCGGCTCGGTTCCGCGCTGGGCCCGCCGATGCCCGACGCGGTCACTGGCATGGACTGGATGCTACCGGGCCTTGCTGGACTCAACTGAGCACGGTCGTGGACGACCGCGCGTATTGGCGTGCGACTTAGCTCGCTGGCGTGCTACTAGGCACAGCCAACGTCGACTGGACCTTACCGGGTGCGACAGACATTAGCCTGTGCACGACCGGGCATGACTTAGGCGCTGGCGGTTGCGACTAGCACAACCCGCGCGCATTGAACGGCCATTAGGTGCCGCTGGGCACGACCGACGGTCGACTGGACTCGTGGCAC